TTTGAGTATTTTTTTTACATCCAATCAATATAAACGATAAATCGAAAGTTATCTCAAAATTAAAACATTTTCTTGGCGTAATCTGTCACTGTTGTGCATTGCTTTTAAATAAAATCAAGCTTAGCTTAAATCTATTAAGCAATTAATCAAAGTTAAGGTAACCCATCAAAAACGTAAATGTGAAAATGGGAGCCAAGTTCAATATTAAGAATGAGCGTGGAAAAACAAAAACAAATCTATCTCACGGGAACGGTACATTTTTCCGGAATAAAAAATAGTCTAGATGTTATTCTGATGTATGAGCTATATTATTCTAAAGTTTCATCAAAATCCGTTTTGTAGTTTTTGTGTGAAAGAGTAACAAACATACATCCATACATACATTCTTACAAATTTTCACGTTTATAATATTAGTAGGATAATTCCAAAGTGACATGTAATTTCAATCTTGTTTCATAATTTTGCAGCTATTCGTTAGTGAATAAGGCGGAATAGAAAAATGTTATTTAATCAGCATGAAACCTTTATCCTGAGAAAGATAAGTTTTTGCTATTACTATGAAACAACAATCTATTGCTATTATATTTCAACAGGCACTAGGTGTCAAGCTATTGCTATTATGTTTTGGAAGATGTAGATAAAATTATTATTTATTCAAATTTTAAAAATTTACTGTTTTCGAATTTTCCGCTTGTTGCACACGATTACCCATCTGGAAAACAAATTTCAACTTTCCAGGTCATCTGGAAGTGGGTTAGGTTTTACTACTATATGTCAGCCAGTCAGTGACAAAAATGCCGATTTTTAGACGATAAAATCTCAATAACCGTTTAAGCTGCATTTATGAAATAGATGTCTAGTTAATTTAAAGGTATTTAATAAATGAAACAAACTTTATGAGTTTATGTTTAATAGATTTTGAGATATTACGAGGTGAACAGTGGCTCCAAATGGTTCTTGTAAATATACACACGGTGCTGCATCGCCAGTTCCTTTAACTTGAACTTGGCTGGACACGCTACCGCGTGTTTTGATAGTTCTTTTTATATGTGTAGTTTTAGATACTCTAAGATTATATTATATATAAAATGGGTCTGTTATCTAGTACTTAGCTAGCATGTACTTGCAGCTGTAGTTTAAGAGATCCTGAGTCAAGTCATGTCCCGTGTAGGCCAAATTTAGTTATTGAGTCTTTATGTTAAGAAAGTCTCAGTAACAGTCCCGAGTTGGGAAGCTGGCGGTGTTTCATCCCCGTACCTCGACGAGCAAGTAAATCCTTCGCTTGATCTCTCACAGGTCGTGTTGAATTGTTGTCCCACTGGTGTATAAAAGTGGCAGGAACAGAGAGTCCTCTTAGGTTTGTGTGTATATTTGTGCGCTACAAATGAGCTTGTAGTTGCTTCCTCATGTTTTAAATGTGCAGAAAACAAAATTACTAAATTGCTTATACTTAGGTACGTTGTAATATTGAAAATATTTTATTATGTTGTTTTTAAATAAAACTATCTTTTCGGATTATTTCGCGGATTTATTTTGATTTTTGGTTCCCGACGTTTCGAATGCTTTACAGCATCCATGGTCACGGGAGAGACTGAGGTGTTACATGTCTTAAAGATATAGTTGTTACAGACAGCCTACCCACAATCAACAAAATGAAAATTGCACCAATTACATTACAATATTTTAACTTTAAACATTTTTATAATTTTAATTATAATTGAATATGGAAAATTATTTATTTAATTTTTTGCTATTATTTTTATAATTATTACAATTTTAAAAATATTAATTAGTAATCTATATTTAGTGTTGCCATTATTATATTTATAATTATAAAGAAAAATATAAAATATAGTATTAATTATTTAAGCCATATAATTGTTCAATGTGTAATTTAAAAAGTTAAAATTAATTAAGGATTATAATTTTAATTTAGTTTGCTATTATTTAAAAACAAATTACTAAGCAACAGTATTAATATATACTTTTACAAATGAAAAATGAAAAATATCAATCTGATAAGCTGTCATTTTGATCTACACAGTATGAACTTACTACATCTGCCTGTCTGTTATGTTTATATTTATTATTTGATTTTATTATATTAATAACAGGATCCCATGACGATGGTAGTACCCAGCCATCTTCCCTATTGAAATTTGGATGTTTTTTAATTTCTATGGCTTCTCGAATCATTCTAGGGCGATATCGGTTTTCTTTCGCCAGGATTTGAGGTCTATCGAAACGAATATTATAATGGCTTGGGCGGTCCATGTTTGCAGACAGCAGATGTTGTATTGCGACGGTGCTTCACATCAGCTATGTGTTCTTTGACCCGGGTTCTAATGGATCGCTTTGTTTGTCCAATGTAAGAGAGCCCACAATCACAATCAAGCTTGTAAACTCCTGCATCTTGTAGAGGGATGTGGCACTTGACAGGTGGTAAGAACTGACTAATTTTCTTTGGCGGCTTGAAGTAAGTTTTAATTGAAGCTCGCTTTAGAATGTAGCCAATCTTGTCAGTGACTCCTTTCATGTATGGCAAGACTGCAGGGACGCGCTCGACTGTGGCTGGTTTTACTCGGTCACTGTGACGCAGGCGCGGCACTTGCAGCTTGTTGTCACGCAGAACTTGCTTGACATGTTGCAGTTCTCCGGCGAGGTGTTGCTCGTCACAGATCCCGCGCGGTCTCTGAAACAAAGATTTTCCCACGGTAGCTAACTGTGAAGGATGGTGGTGAGATTCACCGTTCAGGTACCTATCAGTATGGGTCTTCTTTCTATACACAGTATGACTCAAGGTGTTATCTGTGTTACGTTTAACTAATACATCTAGGAAAGCTAAGGTATTGTCTGATTCTAATTCCATTGTAAATTGTATTTCAGGATTTATAGAATTAAGGTGTTCTAAGAATACAGTTATTTTATCAGATGGTAATATTGTGAAAGTGTCATCTACATACCGCTTGTAGAAACGAGGGGTCACGGGTGATGTGTTCAGAGCAGTCTCCTCGAAGTCCTCCATGAAGATGTCGGCTACGACGGGGGAGACTGGCGAACCCATGGCCACTCCATCCACTTGCCTATAGAATTCACCATTCCACAGTAGATAGCCAGATGTTAGGCAGTGTTTTAAAAGTTCAATGTATTCTATTGACATGTTGTGATCTAGTAGCTTCCTAGATATTATTTCAATACAGTCTTCCACTGGTAGGTTGGTAAATAAAGACTGTACATCGAAACTAACCATTGTTTCATTGTCCATGAGTTTTAGGTGTTTAACTTCATTGACAAAATGGTAAGAGTCCTTTGTGAACGCTCTTGTTAATCCTCTGAGTGGTGAGAGTACTTTTGCTACTAGTTTAGCCAATTTGTAAGTCGGTGAGTCGATCTGACTCACAATTGGACGTAGCGGAGCGTTAGTCTTGTGTATTTTCGGAAGTCCATACAACTTAGGTGGTTTTGCACATGATGGAATAAGATTTTTAACATCAAGATTTAATGTGTCGGAGTGTTCCTTAATTAGCTTTTTAGTATTATTTAAAACGGTGGTAGTTGGATCCGTTTTAACCTTTTTGTACGTGCTCTCGTCCGACAAAAGTTGTTTTATTTTATCATTATAATCTGATGTATCCATCACAACGGTTGCATTTCCTTTGTCTGCGCGTAGAACGGTGATGTCTGACCTATTGCGTAGGTTCTTCAACGCTAAATACTCTTGTTTATTGAGATAAATAAATCCGCGAAATAATCCGAAAAGATAGTTTTATTTAATAATGTCAAACATTCGCGTAAATCTAAGAAAGTATTATGTTGTTTTTATTATTATGTTATAGTAATTAGTAATATGTTATATTAAATTATGTAAAATTCGTAGCGTCTCATTTTACAATATAGCTGTGAGTTTTAAAATACTATTGAGACATATATGTAGAAAATTTTGAAATAATATAATATATTATCTTTATTTTTAATTTCTGAATTTATATCTGTTGTACTTGAGCGCCTTATTTAATATGGTGATTACCCTACTTTAGTAAGGTAGTTAAATGGTTATTTTGTTTCATTTGTATGTTAAATTACGCATTACGTTGTCTGGCTTATTCTCAAGGAGCGATCAAAAAAGTTTTATAGCTGAAAGATAATTATTATCGTTCTTAACACACTTTCAATAAAAAATACATAAGTAATACTATAATAACTGCGTAAAAAGCGAAATAAAAAGATGGGAACGAGTTGAAGAAGGAACATAGTATTATGCAACCGGAGACGTACATACATACACTTTATGTGAAGCAAGACTCGCGTTTTATACTTACTAAATCTATACATATAATAAAATTATAACGGAGTCAAATCTATATCTTACGTGTTTTTTTGGAAAATCTTATTGAAATATCATTATTATCTATACAGAGGCCGAATTTCTAGTTTTTCGAATTTTTGTCTGTCTGTCTGCATGTGACCGCATCACGAGAAAATCCCTGGACAGATTTTGATGAAATTTGGTATGATGATAGCTGGTTATTCGGATAAACATATAGGATACTTTTTACTGCGGGAAAATATCAACTCATCTCTGAGAATATCTATACTAAACGTTAAAACATGACTAGGCACTAACCTGCAAATTTCGTTTGATTTTATCTATATTTCAGAGTATTCGTATTAAACAAAAAAAAAGAAAAAAAATAATTATCTATGTAGTAGGCACTTACATACATTTCAATAATGCTCTCATTCTGTCTAAAAAATATGAAATAAAAAGACATGGGTATAGAAGAGAGAAGGAATTAAACTTGAAAAACGAAAAATATGTTTTTTTACCCGACTGCGGCGAAGTCTAAAGGAGAGTATATGCATCGAAGAAATTACACTATTTTATTGGACACTAGGCATTGGGCCTTAGTACGAATAAATACTTATAAAATCGCGATGGAGTTCATTGCTTGCAGTAATAGCGCAACGGTAACGTGGTGAACGTAGTTTTTAAATTAAAAATGCTGCTTTGGCTGCTCATATTACTATTTATCTTTTTGTTGTGGATCGCCAAACAAGTAGCCAAACCTAAGAATTATCCACCAGGTAAGTCATTTTATTAAGCAACGAAATAATATTCATAGAGTCGTGTTTTTTTTTAATTATTACTAATTGTTAATTATTAAGTAAAAAGCCATTTAAGTGTCGTTAGAAGCGGTGACTACACAGTATGTGAATAAGTGATTCCCGTAAACAGTGTTATGTATATCAAAACGTCATAAGTAATCTTTACCCTATTATTTAATCCATTCAAAAGAATTGAATTTATTAAAATAATTAAACAATAATTGTCATTCCGGGTTCTGTATTTTTAAAATGGGAATCCGTTGAAATTCTGTGTTCGTGATATATTTAAACATATAGTACTTTCTTAGATTTACGCGAATATTTGACATTTTAAATGAAAATAATATCTTCTCGGATTATTTCGCGGATTTATTTTGATTTTTGGTTCCCTGGTTTGGGAAATAAAAAATCAAAATAAATCCGCGAAATAATTTAAAAAGATAGTTTTATTTAAAATATTTAAACATATTTTTTAATGTTGTGTTTTTAAACATGTTAGTAAAAATTAAAGTTTAAAGGTTAAGTAAGTTAAAAAGTTTAAGTTAAATGCTGGTAAGAACTCCTTTCTGATGTGTACATTCCCTACCGGTGAGTAGCAGAAGTACACATAACTTTGATTCATAAAGTCCCTATTTAGTCTGCTTGTGATGCTTATAAACTAATAGATCAATGTATCCACGAACGATAAAATAATTAGAACTATTACGTAAAGTTACAAAGGAAAGGAGTACTGAAAAGTGACACTACTTACGATAAAAACCATAATTTTTTAATTCATTAAAATATGTATTTTAATGGCTTAAACATTTTACTAAACATATACAACAGTGTAATCGTTAATTTTTAAATATTTGTGTATTTTTTTTTTTTTTACGAGTATTATTTATAAATAAGTTTTGTCAGTACTAAATTTTAGTAGATAATTATAAATATAGTAAATATCTGACGAAGACCTTTCGATCTGAAGAACAAACCCCTCAAGGAATAACAGCATATCATTCACAACAGCCTTTTATCAATTTTTATAATTAACGATAGGTGTACTCGCACATATAACAAAAACATACATACAGCCAAACATAGTACCTCCTTTTTAGAAATCGGTTAAAAGTCGGTTTGCTTTGCTTTGACTTACACTTCTAGATGCATCATATTGATAATCTATTATATGGATATGTATGTATTCAGCCCTTTTTTACATCCCACTGCTGGCCATATTCCACCACGCTGGGCACGTGTGCGGGTTGGTGCAGTTCACATGTCTTTCAAAAACTTGCTAGGTTCTCTCAGACATGCAGGTTTCCTCACGATGTTTTCCTTCACCGTTAAGGCAAGTGGTAATCATGTTGAAAATGATTCGCATATGAAAATATCATAGGTTCGAGACCCGCTTCACTAGGTTTACCAAGCGAGCGCGTTACCACTGGGCCATCACTGCCTTTAGTGGATATGGATATTGGATAAATCACAAAATATCGTTTACAAACAAAAAGCAAGCGCATTGAATGCACAGTTGTATATTTAAAGTCGGTTTCCATTCAAAACTTGGGAAGTACTCTTCTTCTAAAATTTGTATCTTATATCTGAAGGTGAAACATCGAAGGAGGTGAAAATGTTGAATCAGGCATTACAAGTCGATCTTATTAATATTTCCATCAACACAAGAAATTCTGAATTTATAAATAAAAATGAATCATCGAAATGTATGTACTCGCATAATTTCCGACTGACTGCACCAAATTGGATAATCCTTTTTTTTTTTGTGTTTATTATTGTCAGGACAAGTTTTGTATAAAAGAAAATTTTTTTTTTACTAGAATAAGTTTTTTTAAATCTCATGATATGCAAAGTGAGTTTTTATCCCAGAAATCATGCCATAAGGGGGTGAGAATGGGTATGAAAGTTTGTATGGGGAAGCAAGATAGGGATGAACTCAAGCGAAGCGAGGGTGAGTCGCTAGTAGAGTAATAAAAGTTTAACTTAGTTATTTAGTAATACTAATTAATTAGGCTTAGCGGGAAACCACGAACTAGAGAATAATTAGTCATAATATTAATATCATAATTTTAATATCAAAATATCAAATTAAATTATGTTTTTTTATCTCCTATAGCTTAGTATCAAATACACGATTATCAATAATAAAACAAATGTAGTGTCAGATTATATTCCTATAGTTTTTTTTAGTCCGTGTATATAGTAATATACCCATCATATACATATTTTTTTTATTTTATACATATTGACTGAAATTTGTAATGCTATTTTCAGGACCTAGGTGGTATCCATTTTTTGGTTGCAATAATATTATTCTTAGCAGAATACCACAATATGGGTCACAATGGAAGGTTATATCAGAGATGGCGAAAGAATACTCCACAGATGTACTTGGTCTGAAGATGGGCCAAGAAAATGTGGTAGTGGTGTTTGGTGAGAAAAATATCAGACAAGTGAGTTGTGATAAGGAATTTGATGCCCGCCCTGATAGCTTTACCTTAAGATTGAGATGCTTGGGCCAAAGAAAAGGTATGCTTTTGAATTTAGTTTAATTTAATTTTTTCTATATCCTTATTAGTGCTTGCATGCAGCTCTGCTCCTGTTTCATTTCAAATTTCACTCAAATCTGCGCGCTAAATTGTGGGGTGAAGGAGTCATAAATAAACCAGAATGACATGGTATATCATCAGGTCCCATCAGCAAATCGTCACAAAATTATTATAGGATTACATTGTTTGTATACACTTTTAAATTAAAAAAGTCTCGTAAATCGATCAATAGGTTTCCCAATATTGGGTGTTTATATCTATCTATACATATACCTAATAAAATAGTAACTATGCCGAATCTGTATATTAAATATTTTTTGGAAAAAATAATGGAAGAAAATCTTATTGAAATAGACATTATTATCGATACATAGGCCTAATCTATAGTATATATAATTTTTGTCTTTCTGTCTGTCTGTGACCGCATCACGGGAAAACTACTGGAGGAATTTTGATGAAATATGGTATGACGATAGCCGGTTATCCTGGTGAACATATAGGATAATGTTTACTGCTGGAAAATATCTCATCTCTGAGAAATCTATACTAAACATTAAAAAGTATAAAATTCTTAGAAATGAACGAATGGAGCGAGGGTGAGTCGCTAATATCAATAATAAATTTATGCTTTAATGAGTTCTATCACTCAACTGCAGAACTTGTTATCGAACCATATCTTGTTTATTTTGCAAAGTAACAACTACCAATATCTAATATTTAGTTAAAATTTACTTCTATTAAGAAGTTCTGCAGATCATCTCCGAATCTCATCGTGAGATGATCACCATATTCGTATACTCTAGTGTAAACTAAAAAATTACCAGTCGATAAAATAACCTCCACTGTTTTGAAATCGGTTAAGAATTTTTTTTTCTATTTCAGGAATTACATTTGTAGATGGTCCATTATGGCGTGAGCATCGAATGTTTACCATGAAGAATTTAAGAAACCAGGGTCTTGGCAAGTTGTCTATGGATAGTGATATCCATAACGCACTGAACAACGTGCTTAGTTATATAGAGAAGAGTAACGGCAATCCTATAAACATTAAAGCTATCATTTCAATGAATGTTATGAATATATATTGGAAGTATATTGCAGGTATTTTACTTTATTTTATATATACATACATAAATGTACATTATACAGATATTTTTTATCTGAGTTACTATGAGTAATCGAACTGACTATGATACTTATGAGTATTTTTTATCGAATATTGGAATGTGGATAGCAAAACACATTTTTAATTTTAATGAATTAATTCTTGCTTCCAGATTCGTTTTGCTAAATCTGTTTAGTAGTAGTACTAGAAAACAAAAATAAATAAATAATATTTTATTAGAGAAAATTTGATATTGTTTATATGAACTTTCGTCTAACTTTGGAATGATATTTATTTTAGACCATTGAGTCCTTGGTAATAGGGGTAATATATGTAGACTCTGATAAGGTTTATACCTAAAGGACCCAAAAAAGCTACTTTTACATAATATTTTTTTTCAATGTTATTTTATTTATAATACTAATCGAGAGGCAGTGGTAGACCAGTGGTAACGCGCTCGCTTGTGAAACTGAGTGAAGCGGGTTCAAATCCCGGGTCTCGCACTTCTGATATTTTAATGTGCGAATCATTTCAAATATGATTACCACTTGCCTTACGGCGAAGGAAAACATCGTAAGGAAACCTGCATGTCTGAGAGAACCTAGCAAGTTTTTGAAAGACATGTGAACTGCGCCAACCCGTACTTGGCCAGCGTGGTGGAATATAGCCTGATCACCCTCGTATTGAAGGGAGGCCTGTGCCCAGCAGTGAGACGTTAAAAAGAGCTGAATTCATACTAATCGAGATTATTTAATTGGAAGGTGAACATATAGATGATCAGAAACTTTTGAATTTTATTAACCTGCTAAATGAAAGGACCAAAGTATCCACAATGGCTGGTGGTTGGCTGAATCAATGGCCTTGGCTTCGATTTTTAGCACCAGAGTGGTCTGGATATGCACCCATTAAGAGGATGAACGCGCAAATGACAGAAATTATCAACGTATGTTTAATTTAAAATATTAAAAGTAATTTAGCCTAATAAAAAATAAGACTTTTATAGAATATTTGCGACTCAACCTCGCTCCGCTCGGGTTCGTCCCTATAAAAGTTGTAACGTTTAGTTTAGACTTCTCAGAGATAAGATATTTTGACGCAATAGAGATATCCTATATGTTGACCCGGATGACCAGCTATCATCATACCAAATTTCATCAAAATCTGTCCTATAGTTTTCTCGTGATGCGTTCCTACACACAGACAGACTGACAGACAGATTAAATTAAATAAAATGTGCTATTTATAAAGAAACGAGTACAGTTGCAAGTGTGAAGTAAGGGGCGATAGTTAGTTCATTTTAAAATAACTGATAACAATAAGTTATGAAATAAAAATAAATTTGACTTTTTTTTAATTTAAGGACTCTATTAAAAGACATTTGGATAAAGATGGAATGGGTACAGACTTTATGTATAGCTTTTTAGAAGAAATGCATAACCAAACGCCGACGTATACAGGTAAGTGTGACGACACGTTTGGCTCAGTTCGTAGTGATCCTACTTGCTGTGCCAGCGGTCGCGGGTTCGAGTTCTGCTGGGGGCATATATTTGTGTGATAAGCACGAATATTTGTACTCCAATCAGTATCAATTTAAAAGTTAGATATGTGTAATGTATCAACTATCTTGTACCCATAACAAAAGCCTCGTAGCTTACCATAGAACTAGATTGAGGTGTGTGTTAATGTCCCAACATATTTAAGTGTAGTATAGAATAACTGGCCAACTGGCCATCTATTTTTAAAATAAAAATCAAATTGTGTAAAGGTTTGCAATAATCTGATTATATAATCTTATAATATAATCTTATAGAAATTAAAATATAATATGTGTATAAAAAAATATAAAATACAAAATAAATAATAAATGTAAATATTGACGTGTAAACTGCTTCAGAAAATTATAATATATCTATTAATTATATAAATATGTATATTTTCCAGTGGACCAGTTACGAGGAATTTGCTTAGATTTTTTAATAGCCGGCGCGCAAACTGTTGGTAATACATTTGGATTTATCATCTTATCGGCAATACGAAATAGAGATATACAAGATAAAGTACATAATGAAATTGTAAATAATTTGTGCGATGTACTGCCCTCATGGGATGATAGTAGAAGGTAATGCCATTAAATAATTAAGTGTTCATATTATACTAGCGCTCGTTTCGCTAGGGTTTGCCTTTAAAAAAACAAAATCAAATCTATCCCACGGGAACGGTACACTTTTTCGGGATAAAAAGTAGCATATGTGCTATTCCAGACTATAATCTATCTCTGTGCCAAATCTCATCCAGTTACTTTCAGCCGTTCTGGCGTGATTGAGTAACAAACACCCATCCAAACATCTAAACTTTCACATCTCGTTATTTACAGGAAGATTGTGTTTTGTATTTTTTTTGACCCTACGTCCTACATCGAAGATTTAATATCCGACCATTATTGTATGTTTGTGTGTTTGTAATACTTAAGACTATTTAAGACTAAAAGTAGACATAAACGCTCTTCCATTAGGTATACAGTAAGAAATAATCTTTATATCTGAGTTATAAATACAATACCTTGCTCTTTGTCCATTATCACGCAATAGTAGAACAACAAACCGATTTTGCTAAAGCATAGTTTATAAGCTGGAGAGTGGCAATCGTTTTTATGCCTTTACAAAAAGTCACTTCTATGAAATTGGCAAAAAATCACATAGCGCGAAGTTGTCGGTTGTTGGGACATAGCTTATGTTATATTTCTTATATTTTTTTGTTACAGACTCATATATACGAGCGCATTTGTGGCGGAAGTTCAAAGGTTTTATACCCTAGCTCCTTTTTCTGGCCCAAGGCGTGTGTTAACTGACGTTCAAATAGGGAAATACACTGTGCCTAAGGGGACCACGGTGCTTGTATCCCTTGGTGACCTCCATTCTGACTCTCGACACTGGGATGAGCCATCTAAATTCAATCCTGGCAGATTTATAGATTCGAATGGTACTTTTAATATTTCTGCTCCCTGGCACCCTTTTGGTATAGGTATGTTTTGTATATTTAACTTTAAATTATTATATTTGTAATGTCCTATTTGATTTCCAACATTATTGTTGCTAAAAAAGCAATATTTGCGAGAATTGATATTATATGTCTACAATTCAAACTATTAACTCAAAATATATTTTATGTAATTAAGTTTTTAAAGCAATTTCGAATCCAATATAATCTTAAGAGTCAGTATAGGCATTAAGGATGCTATGAAAACCGACGGCAAACTCAACAGTTGCTCTTTATGTTGAGTTACATGATTTTTAAGAAACCTATCCTGTATATCCAATTTTGTACAATTTAAGGTGATATAAATTAGCCTTCTGTTTATGTATAATATTTACGTTTATCACCGGTTTTCATATACCAAAAAATAGAATAAAACTATACAATACATAACATATTTGATGCAATCTTAAAGTAACAACAATTCATTGTAAATGAATCTATGTATTCAATAAATAAAATTTATAAAGGCTCTCCATATTGTAAAAGAAGTATAAAAACTCAAACATTGTACGTGACTATTCTCTTTTACCATCGCTTGACATCTTCTGGTTGTAAATGTCAAAACTCCTATCAATTCTGAAGTGCATTGAAAAGTTTCATTCGTTTTATTTTCAGTACGCCGTGTATTCTTGAATTTAGGTAGAATAATCTATACCTACATATAATAAAATTGTAACTAATTCGAATCTGTACATTAAATATTTTTTGGAAAATTCAATTGAAATAGACATTATCGATACAGAGTCCGAACCTATAGTTTTTAGAATTTTTGTCTATCTGTCTGTCTGTTACCGCATCACAAGAAAACCACTTGACAGATTTTGATGAAATTTGGTATTATGATAGCTGGTTATCCGGGTCAACATATAGGATACTTTTTATCACGGGAAAATATCCCATTTCTGAGAAAAAATACAAAAACTGCACTGTAAGAGTATACTAATGTGTAAAACCTAAGAATTTGGTTTTTGGTCATCTGAACACGGGCGGGGCCGCGGGCAATGCTAGTAATAATATAAAATAGCAGAATTGATTTTAAATAAAGAACATGTATACAAATCAAAAAAGAGCAATATGTATATGAAGTTTAATAAACGTACTCGTACTTTTTATGTATTACTAGATAAATCTAATGACGCCTAAATTGATGTATAGAATAAGATAATTAATTTCTTGTTGATGGAAATGTGCGGAATTAAGATATATTGACTCATATACTTATCTATCTATAATAAAATATATATATAATATTATATTTATTAATTTCGATAAAATTATGTTTAAAGCTTCGACATTTAAAAGAGCAACTGTTGATTTTCTTGCCGGCTCTTCTCAGCAGAATAGCTTTTCGACCCGGTGGTAACTTCTTCAAGGACCGAATGACGTCTTTAAATTAAATTTAAATTATATAAATATAATAAATTAAATTTAAATTATATTAAAAATAAATCTTTAAATAAAATAAAAAAAATAAAAGTGCTTGTAATAAGTCTATTTGAATATAATTTCATTTCATTTGGAGTGGAAATGTAAGTAAATAAAACCAATGATTTATATAAAAATGATTTTTTTCTAGGTCGCAGAAAATGTCCTGGCCAGCCATTAGCAAAAGCTGCCCTGTTCATAATTCTAGTTGGAATTTTACAAAAATATAGAATCGAAAGTTATAATGGTGTATTGCCGTCTGACGAACCAATTATCGGACTACTCAGTGAACCGAGACCGTTCGATGCACGATTTATTAAGAGAGTCTAACATAATATATAATGTCTTAGATATGAAATGAAAACAAAAATTCTTAATTGTAATAGTTTTATCTTCCTGAAGAATTAAAGCTTATTATTTCCATATTATATCAAAAATTTTAATTTAATTGTTTCAGTTCATAACTTAATTCTGTCATAATCTATTTCCGTACGCAGTGTAACAATAACTTTCATTTTCTATGTATTATCCAAAAATATATCGACAACATAGCTGTCAGACTTATATCTTTCTTTTCCCTACTAATGAAGGTTTTATTTTCAATAGGCTTACCCTCGCTTCGCTCAAGTGCGTCCCTATACTTTATATTTTATTTTTGAGTTATTTTTTTAGTGCCGAAACTTAATTTTTTTCTAAAATAAAAATAGCTAGCTATTAAAAGTTACTCCTTATAATATCAACTATCTGCCAGTGAAAATCCTGTCAAAAGCGGTCCAGCTGTTTCGGAGATTAGCTAGAACAAATAGACAGACAGATCGATAGAGAAAAATTTAAAAAATTGCTTTTTTTATGTTAAAAAGGGTTGAATTAAACGGACAAAGACAAAACAGTTCAGTTCCATTTTGTCCTCTGTTTGTCAATCGATTTCCTTTTTTTTTTTAGTAGTTATTAAGGAGCTTTAGCGTGTTAAAGAAATACATAATATATAAATAATGTACATTCATTTTTTAAATTGATAGTTAAATTCTATTCACAATTGTTTTTTTCAAATTTTTGTTTTAATGTTCGAATTTCTACCTCTAGACAAACACTAGTATCGTTCCTATTCCACTCATTAGTTATTTAGATTACTGTTTTTGGTATTTAAAGCTGCAAGAAAGCTCTATGGGTTTTACAATGTAATATAAAATCAAATATACATATTATGTATTTTAAAATATTAATAATATGAAACTTTCAAGTTCAGATTCAAGAAAAAAATAACGAAAAAATATGTTCAAAGCTTTGACGTACACGATTTTTCGCTGTTAAAAAGGGATAATGTCGTATTTTCGAACGCCTTATTGAGAGTTTACACGCGCTACACGTGTAGTGTGTACCAGATGCTGCCGTAACGTTTCGAGGACACAACCATTCTCAGTCGTATGTATGACTATAATCTTTACATAAATAAATAAATAAAATAAATAAAAAAGTATCTGCAATATTATATCTGTATTTGTTATAGTTGTAATGTCAAAATAACAGCTTTTTCTAACTGCATATAAAATAATACACGGCACTTAAAAGAAAAAAATAGTTTTCAAAATTTGTGTATGTTTGTCTGTTTGTTCCGGCTAATCTCTAAAATGGCTGAACCAATTTTAACTGGACTTTCACTGGCTGATATCCGATGTTATAAGAAGTAACTTAGGCTACTTTTATTTCAGAAAAAGAATTAGGGTTCGCAAAAAAAATTTAAACTCATGAAATTGTGAACAAATCCACTATCTAGGGAGGCACCTGAGCCCAGTGACGGTAAGTTGCTAGTATATATGTAATATTTCATAAAATTTTCAACCGACTTCCTCAAAAAAGGAGGAGGTTCTCAATTCTGCTGTATGTTTTTTTATGTTTTTTACCTCAAAACTCCGTCATTTATTAACCGATATAGACAATTTTTGTTTTGTTTGAAAGTGTGTCGATACTTCCAGATTGGTCCCATTTTAATTTCAACAATTTAACCTACTTCTAATTGTCATATAGATTTGAAACTTTGCAAGTGTGCCTATGTATTTCCGTTGATAGTGCAGTATTTCGGCATCATTGACCTGATCTGATGGTAAGGCCAGTGGGTGGATAGGTGGAACTCTTCAACGACTAATAGTAGATACTTTGAGTTTGGGCTTATATTGTTTGATTTGACAAGCATAATACATTAGAATCGAATTTTAGAGTCAGAACTTTTAGTGTTACTAATAAAAGCGAATTTTAGTTTGTAAGTTTTCATATAAAAATTGGCACCAAAGTAACTCAAACGGTTTAAGCGAATATTTTATTAAAACAGGTACTCTCTTTTTACTTTGCTACTACTATGTCTCGCAGTATCAGTTGCCTCAGAATCATGCGCCGCCTCTTTGGCTTTTTTTGGAAGCCACCGTTTGGAGGTCATCGTTTTCCAATGGACAGGTTCCAATTGAATGGCGTATATAAATGCAGACATGTTCATTGTTGCGTCACGTTTGTCAGTTGATAAGGGCATGCTCACCGATGAAGCCTGGGTCCGCCATTTCAGATTCACCACGGATACCGCACCCTCCGACGCGGACATTGCCGTCGCATTATTGGGCGCAGCCGTCCTTGATTTTACTGGGGTGGGGGCTAACCCAAGCGGATCAGTAAGTGCAATCTTATTTGGTGTTGTTGTGGACGTGGACGCTGAGAGCATGGTCTGAGACGCAGCCTGGTTTGGCGCATCTTTAACCATTACTCTCCTCATCAAGTCCTTGGACGCTGCCTGGATAGACGCATCCTTTGTTGTCAAAGACCTAGGGGCATCACGAGACGTTGCTTCCAGTGATTTAAGCCTTGGCAACTCCCGAGATGCAGCCTTTTGGCAGTGTGAATAGAAATTGAGACCAAAGAAGTATGTTGTGTGCAGAGTGCAATTATAACCGGCCCACTGGTCCACTCAACTTCCAGGACTCCTTCATCCTCCGGTACGGGTTTCCTTGTACGGCGCAAACACGCGGGAGGTCATTAGCTATCCACCCTCTTGTTATTTTAGATGATGGAATCGCAAGGACATTACCTCTCCATCCCTGCAATAAAGCGTCTGGAGGTTTTAGTTACGTCTTATGCTTAGTGCATTATACCTTTTTTTTTTATCGTCGGGAAATGCATTTACGCATACCACCTGATCCCCCAGGTGGTGATGTGGGGCTCACCGGCTAGAAGAGCCGGTACTACCCACTAAAACCCGACATCCCTTCCCCCCGCCTTAGTGGGACGCCGCAGGATCGCTTGCGCATAACTACTACGGCGCCCCGGCGGCAGGTCTGCCTAAATACTAGGCAGACACCAAACCAATGGGGCTGCTCCACAGTCAACTCTGCTACGTCAGAGAGGTACCCGGAGCAGCCCCATAAAACCAAAACACCGCCCACCGAAGTGGGCCACCTCCAATCGGCTGCAGAGGACAGGGAGAGCGGCAACGAAACACCGACACTCCTCTTCCCCTGCAGCCCCACCGCGTCCGCCATCAAACGGTGGCGGCCCCGTCTAGGCCGCGGAAGGTAGGGAGAACGGCGCACCGAAATACCGGCACTCCTCTCCCGCCGCGGCCTACCCCTCCGCCGAATGCGGGCCTGCGACCACAGTCCCGCAACCGGCACCCATCATCCGGTTGTGGGACCAAGCGGTCCCACCACCGGTGGCCGCAACGTCTTCGGCTCGAGGCCTAGACGAGCGGCCCCATCCAAGCCATTTGGTCCGCGCCGGATTTCTCCGGTACCACCCGCCCCTCTAAGCGGGTGGCATGCCCCTATCCGCCACCTGGGGACGCGCCCGGTAGGAGTTGGCTTCTCCCCCGGGTAGTGCATTATACCTATAACAGGGCCGGCAACCTCTTGAAGGATTGTCCACCAGACTTGCCTTAGGGATCTCAGCGATCTGCGCTACTCCCAAGACCACGCCACCGCACCACCTCTGAAGGAGGCAGTGAGGTAGGCCTGCGCCTAAAATATGTCGTACTGGGGACCGTGAAAGCGTAGACACAGACCTGCCCCTACCTATGTATATATAATAAATATATAGTCTATCTATTCCATACTAACCGTTGAAACGTCGCTAGGGATGAACCCGAGCGAAGCGAGGATGAGTCGCTAGTATAAAATAAAATGAATAGCTCGATAAAAAAGAAACATACTGTGATCAGACCAGCCAAATGGGTAAGTCATATAGATAACAAAATATATATACAATATACATACTCTTACATAAATATAACTTATGTTATTATATAAAATAAATAAAATATTTGAATAATTTCCAGGATTATTATTATTATTAGAACTTCTACAACCTATCGTACATTGTCGACGGATCACACGAGCGGAAAATTACGTAGGCAATGAAAAATTCAATCATGTCAATCAAAAATAAAGTTTAGATTTTATGTAGAGAGTTCAAATATTACACTCTACTAATACAAATATACGTATCAGAATTCGCAGATAATTGCTACTTTAAATTATAAAACGAGAAATACATATTTCTTCTTTTGCTATCGAGTACGTTTGTATGTTTGAAGGCAATGTCGTACGAAGCTTGTTATCTTCCGACTTTAGTTACAGAAATTTACTTCTACGAAAACTTACAACTATTACTACATTCTTTTGTAGAGAAAAAGCTTTATTACTATAAAGCTTAATTCTATAAGGTGTTGCTTACGGCTTTTTTCTTCTTCTTCAGTGGCTTAGAGTTGACTTAACAGACGCAATACATTCTGCCAGTGTCACGTGTTAGAGGAAGACACGAATTGAAAAAAAAGTGTTTGAGCGGTAATTTTAAAATTTATTTTTAATTACGCAATACAAAAATGCTACAATGATTGAAAATAAAAATACATAAATAAGAGACTTGCGTCTTACGGATTCCTCCAGGTCCAATTAAGCCTTGACACTACTAAAAATGGCATATATGACACATATGCCATATGCTTGAGACAATTCATAGGATTCATTTAACATAATTTTATGGGACAAAAATTTAGCTATAGAACACTAAAATAATAATAATTTACATGTAGGTACTTAAATAATTTTATTACATCAAATAGTTATTAGTTATTTGATTTCTATTCATGGATCAAAAAATACTAGATACAAAATCCCATGCAAAAGTTCTCTTAAAACTGTGAGCAATTGTGCTTAGGTAATTAATAATTATTCTAGTTGAAATAATGTAAATCGACAATGTAAATCGAACCTAAAATGCATTACTTAATTAAATCGGTTTCACAAAAAAAGCGCGCCCAAAAGTTCAAATGATCGCTCATTTGGTGACGA